TCATCTCTGTTCTAGGTGCCAGTGGTACAGTGATTAATAAGGCATGAACTGTACATTGCAGGAGAGGAGCAAATAAACTATAGTGTTCATGCAATAATGTGTGCTATAAAACAACAACCTAACCAGGGTAAGGGTGTACAGAATGACGGTGATGGTCCTTTTTCCTAGAGCAGCTGGGAAGACCCCTCTAAGAAGTAAACTTGAAAGCGTAGCTTGAAAGAAAGGAGCTAGCAACCCAAGGATGTGAGCAAAGAATATTCCAGCGCAGAGAACCAGTAAAAAGGGCTGCGGTGAGAACGAGCTGAGTGTATCTGAAGGCTGGTGGAGCTGAAGCAGAGCGGGAGAAGATGATGTCAGAGACCTAAATGGGGCTGAAATCAGACAAGGGCCTGAAGGCCAGACTAAGAAACTGAATTTTCTTCTCACTGTGACCAAAGGGCTTTCACCAAAGGGCTTTCACCAGCCAAGACCCGACGCCGTCTACATCTGTAACATTACTCCAGCGGACTGTAACATTACAGAAGTGGACTGTAGAGGGTGCTAGAAGGAAACATGTAAACCAGATCCTGTGCTACTGTGGAGGCCCACGTGTAAAAGACAGTGGTTAGGAGCCAATGGTAAGCACAGCCGCAGTGGAAATGGTGAGAGTGGGGGTATGTGTTTTTTTAACCTTTTCTTTTTTTTTTTTTGGTTTATTTATTTTGAGAGTTACATACGCACAGGTGGGGGAGGAGGAGGGAGAGAATCCCAAGCCGGCTCTGCACTGTCAGCACAGAGCCCAACATGGGGCTCCATTTCACCAACCACGAGATCATGCATGACGTGAGCCCAAATCAAGAGTCGGACCCTTAACCGATGGAGCCCCCCAGGTACCCCAAGAATGGGGATATATTTTGAGATTAAACCAATAGGGCTCGCTGATCGATAAAAGGCAGAATCATGGAGCAATCAACAAAAATGAATGGGAATAGAATCAAGACTTACAGTACAGAATATCACAGACAGTCCCTTTAAAGTGTTCTGGGGCTACCGGCTGATTACAGGATCACCACAGAGCTGGCATTTTGCTATATAACAGCATGTGGCTTAAGGGAGGCCTTTATTCAGGCTTTAACCCTCTGAGAAGACTTATCTCAGACACCAAAGGGAACTGCAGGAAACGGTGTCTCTTGATGAGCGAGTAAACACGCTTCCTCTCACTGGGGCAGCGTGGGACACTGCCAAGTGTAACGTGTTTCTCTGTTGTCTCCCTGCCCCCTTCCCTCCCAGATTCTGGGAGAGCACCAACTTTCTTCCACCACTGTACAAGGAGAGCCTGGCCCAGAATATATGTGCAATAAACATTTGCTGAATGACTGTGGAATAAAATGGCAGGAGACCTCTACAGCGCTTTGAGTAGCCTGGAAACCCTATTTTAAGAGAGAAAGCAGCAATACCCACGCCAGTGCAAGAAGAAAAAGAATAAAGTTCAGGAGAGGGTTGGGATTGAGTAATCAGCAAGAGTTCTAGGCTAGAGCCAATAACTGAGAAACTGATTTTGCAAGAGGCAGCACAAAGGGCCTAGCAATGCCCATTGCTGGGATTTTACAGCTAAACTGGATGATCTCATCACAGGCTCATCAAATGTCAGAGCTGGAAGAGATCTTGGAAAACTTTTGGAGTAATGTGCTCAGTTCACAGATGAGGAAATTAAGGTGAAATGGGTTGGGACTAGAACCCAATTTTCTGGCCTCCAGACGCCAAATTCCTTTCTACATTCCATTGATTAGCAATTTGATTCAACTGCCTTTTGCATACACAGGCTCACAGAGGAGTTTTCAGAAGTGAACGGGAGAGACAATCTTCTAAAGTTTATCCTCCAGTGAAATTCTTTTTAGAATTCATTTCCATGAAAACAAATCATCCCACATGAGCAACTTTTCCTCTTATCATTCAGTGAAAATACAGCAGCCCATCATGATTCCCTTTTTGACATGGCTGCCAGGAAGCTTAAAGCTAAATTTAATACTCAATCCTCATAACAATGGTGGCTCAGTTTTTGACAAACCGTGCTTATTTCCTCCTCCTTTTCATGACTTTTCATTTTTTTTCTGACGATTTCAATGGCCTTATTATATATATATATATATATATATATATATATATTTTTTTTTTTTTTTTTACTGAAAGTCATCTCAAATGCTCTTTGGAAGTTTAGCCAGGTAAAAATCACCAATAAACCAAAATAAAAGGAAGATTTTGTTTCTCTTGTGCACTTGGAACGGCTACTATGATCTCGTGGTATCCATTTTCAGATCCCACCCCTGACCTAAAAGCTTAGACCTTACCTCCGGGCTTTATATTTATAGAGAGGAGAGGCCACCACAGGACAGATTGCATACAAATGACTAGTTATAAAATTGTAGGGTCTGTCTGCTAACGAGGCAAGTCCCTGGAAACTTCTCTGAAATGAAAACAAGATGTGGAAGGAGAGGGCTATGTTTCCTGCGCTGACGTGGCAGAACTTCACTTCCAACAGTACCCTGGGGGGGGCCAGGCAGCCGGGTCCACGGATGGTCAGCAGGTGGTGGACTGTACCACATCCAAGTGCAATCTCACTGCTCACTACTCCCCAGGACGGAGAAATGAGCTCGCGTAACCTTCATCTCTTCTGGCTTGTAGCCACATAACGAGATTAAAGCACCCAATTTCTAAAAACACGAGGCTTTCTTTTCCCTCCCTAAAATGAAATTCCTTCTAAACCACAAAAATTTAACCCAAGCAGGATTAGGAAAGCAATAAAGGAGCTCAGGCAGAGACCGTTCCTCCTGCTTCCTTGCTGTCTCAGAATCTTCCGTCGCCATTTCTGTCCAGGTAGTAAAAAAAAAAAAAAAAAATGTTACTAAGTCCCAAAAAATGTCAACTTCTCCAGAGGACACAAGACTTTCACCTTTATGCATTTGAGCTTGAGACTTCTGGTGGCTTTTTTGTTTTTCACTCTTCCCTGAGTTTTTAAATTTTGTTCTATATTCCTGTGGTGTTGGCCATGACTTCCATGATAATATAAGAGATATGTTCAAAAAGAAAAATGGCTTCAGGAGGTACTGCTGCTCGTGAAAAGAGTCCTTCCCTAAAGCATCCATCTGGATTCTGTTCACGATCTCTTCCTAGTCAGTCGGAGCCAATTTGTTCCGATAGAGACAAGAAGATCCTGTCCCGTGTGCCCAACACCTTGAAGAATGAGACCGTTGTAAAAATCTGTGACGTTTCTTTAGAAAAATCTCAGAAGAACTTACGAAATGCAGGCAAGGCTAGTTAATGCAGGACACCAGCATAGCAGGTAAGGGTGAACCGGGCCCCGGCTGCCTGAATCTCCATCCTTACCTGTCACACGTGATCTGGGAACCTTGCACAAACTGCTGAACCGTGCGCATTACTTTCCTTAACTGTAAAATGGGGATGATACTGGTGCTTACGTCATAGAGCAGGCTCTCAAACACTGGCGTGGGTTAGAAAAATAGGAGGGCTTATTCGAACACCGACTACTGATCTCACCCCAAGGGGTTCTGATTTCATGGGGCCTGGGTGGGGCCTGGGAATCTGCATTTCTAACAAGGCTCCAGGTGACACAGCTGCTGCTGGTTCAGACTGCACTTTGAGAACCACTATCACTGGGTTACCATGCAGATGACATGGTTAATACATGTACGTTATGGTAACAATGACTATTTTTACATACTGCTGTGAGCACTGTACCTGGTGAAAGGTTAGCAACGTTAAATGGTGTCAGTTACTACTGATGTAAAAGTCGGCCCATCCACTTACAAACCGTAGAAAACTTGCAGTGGAGCCTTAACATTATAAGAAACCTCCGTTCCTAACAGAAATATCCTTATTTTAAGGGATGCATACATTCATAAAAGGCTGTAAATGGCTCCAACGGCTTAAAAGAGACTCTAGACCATTGGGGTTTTTTCCCCCTCTCTTTAAACTTGTCAGTACCCATCTGTACATTTATTGTGAGGCAGAAGAGAAACAAAAGCTGACACAGCTACTTCTTGAGGTTTCATGTCTTTTCTCTTAGTTACAGTAAAAGCGGCAAAACAGATTTACTCATTACCGCCAAAAAGAATTCTTCAACTCATTTCAAGTAATTAAGGAGCCCAGCAGCACACGCAGTCGCAGTAACGGCAGTTAGAAACATCACCAGCTTCCAAAGGGCAGAGGAAACAGACTCGCAGCGAGGGTATTGTTAAAAAGCTCTACACAACAAAGGAAATGAAGGCAAATCCCTAACCTGGGGGCGGTCCAGCAGCCCGGAGGACAAAGATATAATGCTCTGCTGAAAAGCTTGTGGCGGGTTAAACTCAATGCAGAGAAAGAGAATATCAACCCTAATGTCAAAGGTTACGATGTTTTCCTTGTAAGACACTTGGTCCGTGCTTAAGTCTGAAGTCCCTCTCTTCTGCCCGGGCCACGCCACGCTCTCTCCACGAAGAAAACTTTTTAATAAACCCAGGTCGAACGCCTCTTCTGTTCTAAGCACAGGGCGATTCGAGGTTCAACGAGAGGCGGCTAGCGAGTCTTTGGTAAACATCTAACTTTTCCAACTCAATCACATCTTAGTTTTTGGTACAGAAAAAAAAATTCTCCAGTGAAACATGAGACGTAGATACAGCATTCTTGCATCGTGATGGCTTTTGGAAGATTAAACAAAGGGTGCACGTTTGCAAGAATGCAAACACACGCCTTGCCCCGAGTGTTGAAAAGTGTAATACATAAGCCACCCTCCGTGACGCTTCTCTTTCAAAAAGGTACGTGATCAACAGCACTGCGCTGTCAACAGGACTCCACGAAGGTGGCTCTTACTTTCCAGGGGAGCAAAGACAAATAGAAGCGAGCAGCCCCTGGGTGCACTTGGAGTCCGTCCCTCCAGCCCGAAGCCTCCCCCGGACTCGGCACGGGCTGAGGGAGTGAGACACGGGTCCCCCAGAAGGGATTCTGGGGCTGCCACGACTCACCTCGCCAACTTCTCCAGGCTCGCGGCGCCCCGGCGGCCGGCTCGGGGGCGCGGGCGCGGGGGCCGGCGGCGCCTAGCGCGCGGGCCGGCGGCCCCCAGGAAGGGGCCGGGGCCGGGGAGGCGCGCGGGGGCCGGCGCGGGGCGGCGCTGCGGGGCGGCCGCGGGACGCGCGGGCGGCGCGGGGGGCTCGGCGCGGCCGGCGCGCAGGGACAGCAGCGCGAGCAGCAGCGCGGCCAGCGCGAGCAGGAGCAGCGCCGCCGCCTTGCTGCGGAGCTTCATGGTGCGGCGCGGCGGCGGCGGCGGCGGCGGCCCCCGGGCGGCGCGGCCCCTCTGCGCATCGCTGCGCGCTGGGCGGCTGCGGCGGGGCGAGCGCAGTCGAGCGGGGCGGCCGCCTCCACCGCCCGCCCGCCGGGGACTGGGGTCCGGGCGGCCGGCCGGCGGGCGGGCGACGGAGGAGGAGGTGGACCGCGACGGGGAGGGGGCGGGAGGGAAGGAGGAGGTGCGAGCAGGGCTCGAGGAGGAGCGGCCCGCGCCTACCGTACTGTGTGGAGTAGCTGCCCGTCCGGCCACCCGCCAGCAGCCAGGAGACTGGCGCTTAGGCTTCAGGTAGGGCAGCCTCAATACCCCTTCATTCATTCATTCATTCATTCATGCATGCATGCATACATGCACTCATTCGTTCATTCATTCATTCATTCGTTCATTCATTCATGCATGCATGCATGCACTCATTCGTTCATTCATTCATTCGTTCATTCATTCATGCATGCATGCACTCATTCGTTCATTCATTCATTCATTCATTCATTCTTCAATCTGCTCGTCCATCCATCCGCTCATTGCCTCCCATACCATTCCATTTCCTTCCTCATCCCGTCACTCACTTACTCTCCCGTCACATCCACATCGGCTCTTCATCTCTTTAATCTATGCATTTCCCCCATCACTTATTTTTATCCATCTTTCCACACACCCGTGCATCTCTCTATACGTCCGTTCAGGCAGGGGCATCTCTGTTCTGTTTGCCCAATGCAGGGCCTGGTGCTTGGCGGATATCTGTTGGACAAAATCACTCCAAATCCATGTAGTCTAAAGAAGTTCCAGAAAAAAAATTCCAAGTCTGGATTTAAAATCTGACTCGGTCCCCTACTGCCTCAGTGATCCTGAGCAAGTTGCACAATTAGAACCTTCATGTCCTTACATGCAACCTGGGAATGAGAACACTGCTCTCCACGGAGGCATTGTGTGGACATTAAATTTAAAACACACATTCAAAGAACCTAGCACAGTGCCTGACTCAAAATAGGTGCCCAATAAAAGCTCTGTGATCATCACTACAGTAAAACGTAGCTTATCATAAATACGTAAATGCAAAATTTTTTTTTCTTTCTGACATAGATTTGAGATAGAGTATAGCTTTACCTCCAGTGTAGAAATAGTCTTCAGAGAACTTCACAGCTATAAGCACCAGATCAAGTTTTGGAACTTTCAGACCATTCTTCCAGGGCATCTCCAGTCACAAATCTGAAGCATTAGGACACAAACTGTTATTATTCACCTTGAACTGCCAACCAATGTTCTATTAACTCTCTTTTCAGCAGGGCCACAGCACAAAGAAGACCAGAGATAACAGGGTCTCTGAAATTCTACCAGAATCCACGTTGATTTAGAAAGCATTTAAAATTCAATTGTATCCCTGGGGCACCTGGGTGGCTCAGCTGTTTAAGCTTCCCACTTCAGCTCAGGTCATGATCTCACGGTTCATGGGTTAGAGCCTGGGTCGTACTCTGTGCTGACAGCTCAGAGCCTAGAGACTGCTTCGGATTCTGTGTCTTCCCTTCTCTGTCTAACCCCCCCCCCGGGGCCCCCATTCACACTCTGTCTCTCTCAAAAATACATTAAAATTCTTTTTCTTAAATTCAATTATATTCTGAATGATTCTTATATTAACATTATATTTTAATTATTTGGGAACCCATTGTATTTAAAATTTTAGGAATGAGAGGGGCGCCTGGGTGGCTTAGTCGGTTAAGCGTCTGACTTTCGCTTAGGTCATGATCTCGCGGTTCGTGGGTTTGAGCCCCACGTCGGGCTCTGTGCTGACTGCCGGCTCAGAACCTGGAGACTGTTTCAGTCTGTGACTCCCTCTCTCTCCGACCCTCCCCTGCTCACGCTGTCTCTCTCTCTCTCTCTTAGAAATAAAAAAAAAACATTAAAATTTTAGGAATGAGAATGTTTAATAACCTGGAGCTTCTTCAAAGCAGGCACCATGAAAGGGTGCAAGGTCAAGCGTGGCCTTCCAGTGGTTCTCCGTGAGGGTGAGATACCATTCCAACAGAAGGCATCTAAAATTGTGAGAAGGATGTTTTGGGTCGTCACAAACACTGGCAGGTTCTGTCATATGTTAACCCTCGACAAAGCTCAGAACACTGTAGCACAACAAGAATTGTCCTGGGCCAAGTGCCTTGTGAAAACCCTGCTGAGAAACTCTGAGCTATGGTAAGGCTTGGTGTATAGGCCTTCCAGATTTAGAAATGGCCACCATCATGTTGCTCTGTGGCCCAGTGAAGCAGAAATTCCCAAATTCTGTCTTGCCACATCTCTTCTTCCTCAAGGAGGACACATATGACAAGGATAAAATAAAGCAAAGTAACAATGAAGTAGTGCCTGGTGTTTTAGCCTCAAACACCAAAGTGAAACTTCGAATAATTACACTTGACCAAACAGAGGACTTCATTTTCTTAAACTCCACTGACTTACGTCCTTCTCCTGAATCTAAACCCAAGTTTTGGATTTCACTGCTCTGATTGGTGGAGAAGTACAACTTCTGGCATCACGGAAAAGGGGTTCCAGATACCATGTCTATGGCTCACCCAGTTTCTCACTTAGATGTTTACTATGCAAAATGCTTGTTTATTTGACCCCCATCCCCATTCCTGAAATCTGTTTCTCCTCCTGGAATTTTGATATCTCTAGACACTTAGTTGCTCAAGCCAGAAATTAGGTGGCAGTCATTCTTGATTTATCTGTTTCTCTCACCTCCTGTGTCAGTTACCTATTATCTATTGTTAGTTATTATTATCTGTTGTTCATAACAAACTACTCCCAAATTTGGTAGCATAAGATAATGCACATACAATCTCATCATTTCTGTGTGTCAAGAATCCAGGGGCACCTGGGTGGCTCAGTTGGTTAAGCAGCCAACTTCACCTCAGGTCATGATCTCATGGTTTGTGGGTTTGAGCCCCGCATCGGGCTCTGTACTGATGGCTAGCACAGAGCCTGGAGCCTGCTTCAGATTCTGTATCTCCCTCTCTCTCTGACCCTCTCCTGCTCACGCTGTCTCTTTCTCTCTCAGAAATAAATAAAAAACGTTAAAAAAAAATTTAAAATCCAGAACACCTTAGGTGGGTCCTCTGCTTCACAGGCTTTCACAGGGCTGCAATAAAGTGTTGGCTCAGAGCTGTGGTCTCATCTGAAAGTTCAACCGGTGAAGGATTCACTTCTAAGCTCACTTATATGGTTGCTGGAATAATCCAGTTTCTTTCTGGTCAGTGAACTGAGAGTCTCTCTTCCTTGCTATCTTTTGGCCAGAGGATGCCATCTGTCCCTTGCCAGGTGGCCCGCTCTGTCAGCATAAGGCTGTAGGAAGAGTCAGAGAAAGGATGCAGTGGTACAAAAGTCATGGTCTTTTATAACCCAGTTTCAGAGGTGACATTCTGTCACTTTATCTTGTTCTTGCTAGAAGCGAGTCATTACATCTCATTCATATTCAAGAGGAGAAGATTACACAAGGGCTTGACTACCAGGAGGCCAGGTTTACAGGGGGTCATTTTAGAAAGCTGCCTTTCTTACCTCCCATATCCAGAGAATTAGCAAATTCTGTCAAAGCTACTTCTAAAATATGATTGGCATCTGTCCACCTCTCTCCTGAATTGCCAATCATGAGTGCTTGACAAGGACAAACCTTGATAAATCTTAATAGCCTCATTCCTATTGTATTCCATATAAATTGTGACAATTCCACTCCCCACCCCCCAGGCTTCACCCCTGTTGTAGGATGTGGCTATTCTACAGCCTACATGCAACAGCAGTTCCCCTCTAATGATTTTCCTTGCTTCTTCCTATGCCTTTTTCTGAGTTTTAAGCCAGGATGATTTTTTTTTTTTTTTTAAGAAACATAAATCGAATCTGATTTCTCCCCTGCTTAAAACTCTGCAGCAATTCTTCATGGTTCTTTGAATAAGTCTGAATCCCTTACCATAGTATCTAATTCCAGCATGATCTGGCCCCTGACTGCAGCTCCCCTGACTACATCCATCCTGAGGCTCCTTCCAGTTCCGGTGGCTTTCCATCAGGGCCTCTACCAGTCCTGGCTTTTACTTGCTTCAGTCTCTTTGTACTTGTGGTTCCTTTTGCTGATTTCAGGCTCTGGAAGGCACTTCAAGATTTAGATCTTGGCCTAAAGCCACCTCCTGAGAAAGAATATTGCAGGCTTCCTTCTTTAAGGAGATAGTGTTCCTCCTAGTACTATTTGCCCATGTTGTTTCCTGCACAACACGTAGTACAAATTGTATGTATGTGTATACATACATATACACACATACATCCACATATATGAACAATCACAGATATACATATATATATATATACACATTCATATATATGTCTGTTTTCAAGTGGAATTATTTATGGACAGTAGTATATATAGTTTGGGTTTTTTTTTTTTTCTTAGAGAAAGAGAGAGACAGATTGAGTGGGGGAGGGGACAGAGTGAGAGAAGGAAACAATCGTAAGCAGGCTCCATGCTCAGTGCAGTGCCCAACACAGGGCTCAATCCTATGACCCTCAGATCATGACTTGAACTGAAATAGAAAGTCAGACACAACCAAGTGAGCCACCCCGGCACCCCTAGAATATATAGTTCTTAATTGTATAGGTAGATATACCTCAAAAACCAAGGTATAGAACATTTCTAACATCTCAGAAGACTCTCTATGCCCTCTCCCAGGGGTTACATTCAAGGATAATAATTACTCTAGCTCCTATAATCATAGATTAATTTTGTCTGCTCTTTGAAACGTTATATAAATAGAACCATATGATATGCATGCTCATTCAACATATTGTCTGTAAGGTCATTTCATGTTTTTCCACATATCAATTGGTTGGCTTGTATATATGTTGGTCTGTTTGATGGGTAATATTCCATTATATGAATATACCATCGCTTATTATTTTTTATTCATTCTACTATTTTTATTTTATTCATTTTTACTATTGAGGTAATGAAATTATTTCCAACTCTTATGAACATTCTTGTACAAATCTTTTGCTGGACATAAACATACATCTCTTTTGAGTACATGTCCTAAAGTGGAATTTTTCGGTCATACAGTGGCCATATATTTAGGTTTTTTTTTTTAATGT